CATTCTATCCCTTCAATGGGTGAGCAAAATATTGATTGGTTAACTGACCGATAATTGAACCAACCGAAAAATTTGATTATCGGTCGATTTCGGTTACTAACATTTTAAAAAAAAAATCAATTTTCCAGTTTTTTGATTATTTCACGATTTTGGAGGTTCGGTTAACCGAAAACTAGTCAAGACCCAAATTTCTAAGCAATATCTAAGCCCAATATATATTCCAAATTCCCTAACCCTAACCTTAACAAAACAAGGTTAACTGACCGATAATTGAACTAACTTAAAAATTTGATTATCAGTCAATTCAATTTCGGTTATTCACATTTTTAAAAAAAATTCCAGTTTTTAGATTATTTCACGGTTTTGAAAGTTCGGTTAATCGATAACTGACAAATTATATCGTGCATTGCGGTCGAGCTTCTAAACGACGTCGTTTTTTTTAATGAAAAAACGGCACCCGTTTTGCGCCACTCCGCAAAAAGTAACTCTGTTATTCAGTTTCATTTTGTATACACTGCAGTTTCATTTCAACACAGCTACAGTTTGATTTCGAATGCCAAATATCTCTCCATGCACATAATTGCCTCACAAGGTCATGAAACTGAATGCCAAATAGAAAATAAAAAGGCAGCTATGATTCTCACACCATTTAATGAGGTCTCCTAAAGAAAAAGACCTTTTTCGTCAAAAGAGCTGGATGGATGGAAGGTTTCCTTGTTCATGCTGATATCGAGAAATTATTGATGAAGCAAAAGAGCAGAATCTCCGGGATAAGCTTCAAGCTCTTTTGAGAAAAGTTGCAAACAAGTTGTATTTGCATGGTGGGTAGCCTCAAGAACAAAAATGAACTTGTGATTGAGATGTGATGAATTTTGTGTGCATAAATATGTAAAACAATTTTGCTACTTTAAATAGTAGGACATGTGACTATGTGAGTAAAGAAGTGAGACCTCGAAAAATTAATGGTTGAAAAAAAAAGTTGAGAGTTTTGAATGAGGTATATAAACTTCCTTTGGTAAAATTTCATAGACCTCCAATTTGTTTTTAGTGTTGATATTGTGAAGTGTATTTAAATATTTTTAAACAATATTTTACAATGATATTTCCTGTGAATGCTAGTTCCCCATCATCCTTTGAACACGACTCATGCATACTGCCTAAGTTGGCAGTTTCTTCATTTGGACCATGAACTTCCACTCTAAACCTCTCCTCCTCATTTGTTAGGAATATTTGTAATATGGTTTTGATGAGCCAAAATGTATCTTAGTATTGAAAAATTAATGATCTCTAAAATTTCATTGTAAAAGTGTATTAAGAAATAGTCTGAGTGTCAAATCTTGAGATGAAGCAATAATTATTGGTTGAAGATGGAGTTACAAGCTAATTCTGAGAAGAATATTAATTGGAGAAGAAGTTATTTGAATAAATAAACAAAGCAGTGAAATTCTTCAAAAAGTATTAAGTTTTCTAAAGGAGTGAAGTTCAGAACTCAAGCTCTATATATTATGAAGATCCAATAAATCCATCAATAGGTTATATTGAACCATTGGGTGAAGTTAAGCATTATTACTTAGATCAGAGGTCAAAGCTTCAAATTTCACCCTTTACAACACTATAATATTTGCTTGTACATATACTGGTTAGATTTTAGGAGGTATAAACTCCATGCTTCATTATTATGTATACTTAACATGATGGCAATGAATTATTATAGAGGGAAAGTGGCACTTTCCCCCTGTGTTATATACTTATGTACTTTTTTTTCTTAAATTATTTAAGTGGCAATTTTTCCCCTGATATGTTAAATGGACATATTTACCCTTAAAATAAATATTTCATTTATTTTTCTTCTTCAACAAATTATAGCCCCGATTTGAAAAAATAAAATACATTAATTTTTGAATTTAGAATATTTTAAATATAAAAAAAAAATAAAATTTTAAAAGAAAGTTTGAACCAGCAGGTCAAATTGGATTCGAAACCGTGAACCTACAGTTCAAAATAAAAATTAAATTGCGGTTATATATACTTATATGTGAGAGTCAGTATAAATGCGAAAAAAAATACACTATTTGTAAATATTACTAATGCTAGTAGTTGTTCCGATTTGAACCTCCGGTTCACAGTTCAAGATCCATTTTTTCTAGTTCACGATTTTAAAATAAACGAAAACCCAAATATTGGGTTATGTTCTGAATCAAAATCAAAATTTTTTGATTTGATTGCTAATTTGCTATAGTGTTCGGATCAGTTTGAACCGAATCGTGGTCATCCCTACGTATAAGTAATAATTTGTTGAAGAAGAGAAATAAATAAAATATTTATTTTAAGGGTAGGAATATCCATTTAATATATCAGATAGGGAAAAACCCTCACTTTTATAATAATTAAGAAGACAAATGTGAATGCACGAATAACTCAAGGGAAAAAAGTGTTATAAGCATATAATTCAGAGTGTCATTTTCCCTATTATATTATAGATGCTGGGCATAGTTAACACTGGTCACAAACTGTTCTTATAAGTAGACAAGCAGAAATTCATAGAAGTTAGGGCCGCATAGTTACAAATGCAGATATGCCAATTACAAAGTCTTACAAAGTCCACACAATGACTTCCCCTCGTCCTAGATTGCAGTAACAAGCCTGCCCCAGTTCAGCCCATTAACCCTAAAAACCTTATACCCCATTCCCCCGTAGTTATGCTGTGGGCTCGTGCCCAACGTGCATCATGGGCACGGTAACGGTGGGCAAATTATATTATGCGTCGCGGTGCATAATCGATTATGCACCGCGCGTCTTTTTTTTAAATGAAAATTAACAGTGCTTATTTTCGTCGTTTCGCACCCTTTTGCAAAAATTAACTCTATTATTCAGTGTCATTTTGTATACACTGCAGTTTCAGTTGAACACAACTACAGTTTCAGTTCGATATAACTATAGTTTCATTCGATATTTATAGACTCAAATATGTGAAAATGTTATTTAATTTTATTTTATATACACTATAGTTTCATTAAAACACAACTACATGATTATTTTGATATAATTACAGCTTCATCGTACAATATACACTCAAATATGTGAAATGTTATTCAGTTTCAGTTTATATACACTGCAGTTTCATTTCACTATAACTATAGTATCATTTTGATATAACTGCAGTGTCGGTTTGGATATACTGTAGTGTCAGTTGATGTTTAATACACCAAACAAACGGACTCCGTTAACACTAACGGCGGGCCGTTTCTTTACTTAAAGAAACGGCGTCGTTTTTGACCGCGGTGCACATGCACCGCGGTCTATAATATAACGACTGTTAACGGTGCCGTCAGGCACCGTTATCTTCCCTCTTTTTTTTTTTTTTTAAAAAGAAAAAAAATTTAATTTCAGACCGCTTCGTTATAGGAGCATATATTCACAGCTTTGTGTTCATAATTTCATAACTGTATATTCATAATTCCATAACTGTACATTCATAATTCTATAACTGTACATTCATAATTCCGTAACTGTACATTCATAATTTAATAACTGTAAATTCATAATTTTCGAAGCTCTATGTTCATAATTGTAAGTTCATAATGTCAGAGTTCTATGTTCATAATTTCATAACTGTACATTCATAATTCCATAACTGTACATTCATAATTCCATACTGTATATTCATAATTCCATACCGAACATTCATAATTTTCGAAGCTCTATGTTCATAATTGTAAGTTCATAATTCCATAACTATACATTCATAATTCTATAACTGTACATTCATAATGTCATAACTGTATATCCATAATTTCATAACGAATATGCCGTTAACGGCGTTTCGAACAAATTTTTTTTTTATAGTTAAAACAGCGTCGTTTTCACGGAAAACGACGCCGTTTTAGCGCCGTGCGCATAGCATAATTTGCCCATTCCCCCCCTCCCCTCACCCCCCCCCCCCCCCAAATCTTGGACTCTAAATCCCATGTTCCCCTGGGATTTTAATTCCTGAGAAAAAAAAGTTAGTGGTGAGTCAAAATTATCCCTTCCTTTTTTTAACTTAAAATTAATGTCTAACAACAATAATGGACATTTTTTACTTTATATTACTTATTCCCTTTCAATTCCCATGTATACCAAACATTGTAATTGAAATTTCCAGTAATTCTATTCCTATTAACCAAACATTGGAATTTAAATTCTCATTTGGGAAAATGGCACTTTTTCCCCCTGAGTTATATACGTATAGCATTTTTTCCCCCTAAATTATTGAAGTGGCTGTTTTTCCCCCTGAAATGTTAAATGGACATATTTACCCTTAAACTAAATATTTAATTTATTTTTTTCTCCAACAAATTATGACCATAATTTGGTTCCAACTAAACAAACACTATAGCAACCAAATCGAAATATTCCAATTACAATTTAGAATCGAAATTCGATATTTAGAGTTTATTAAAATCGTGAACCGGAACGGACGGTTCATGTTCCGAACTGAAAAAATAAAATACATTTATTTTTGAATTTAGACTATTTTAAAATAAAAAATAAAATTTTAAAATAAAGACGGTTCAAAACCGCGAATCAGATCCGGAACCGCCGGTTCACGGTTCAAGATTCAATTTTTTTGATACATAATTTTAATAAATTGACATTTAAATATTGGGTTCTAGATCTAAATTATAACCGTAAACTATTAATTCGATTGCTTTAGTATCCGTTCAATTCAAATCGAACCGTGGTCATCCTTACATATACGCAATAATTTGTTGGAGTAGTAAAATAAATAAAATGTTTACTTTAAGGGTATAAATGTCAATTTAATAGATCAGGGGGAAAAAGCACCACTTTTAGAATAATTGAAGGGGCTAATGTGCTTACCTAAATAATTGAGGGGGAAAAAGTGCTATAAGTATATAACTTAGGGATAAAAAGTGTCATTTTCCCTTCTCATTTTATTCTCAATAATTCAAATTCCTTTCCCACATAATTCCTCATTCCAACCAAACGCCCTGTAATTTCTCCTTCCCAAATTACAATTACAATTTGCAAACGCAGAGTACCGAGAGACGAGAGAGTCGGTCGTCTCCTTCGGAACTCCTCGACGACGGCACCCCACTTCCAGTACCCCAACGACGGCAGTCTCCAGACTCCACTCCAAGTCATCGGTTAGCATAGCCATTAGCCAGTCAGGTTTATAATTTTATTTATTTTGTTTAATTATTGATGTTCTATGTTAAATACTTGATTGTTCTTGTGTTAAAACTTTATTATGCATATATATTGTTTTTTTTTTGCTTGTATTTATAATTATTAGTTTCTATATAATTATTTTTGTATAATTATGCATCTATTTGTTGTTTGTATTTATAATTATTAGTTTTGATTTAATTATTTTTGTATAATTATGCATATGTGTGTTTTGTTCTTAATTCTTTTTCCAGGATGGCAGAATTTCTACATGCTTATTTTAGGTGCGAGGAAGTAATGATATGGGTTAAATTCCCTATGACAGTTAGGTCTTTCAACCCCGATGCCAAGTTTGTGTACTTTGATCCATCCAACCCTCTTCCAACATCTATTGGATTCTTTAGCCACAAACACATTGTATATATGGTTGGTGGCCAGAATGGAGATAATATTCCATTTGAATATAGCCATCTGAACATGATGTTTGATCCCACCAAGTATCCCTTTAAAAAAATTGAACCACTCCACTCCTCAAATTTTGAACCTATGGTTCCCAAACGATCGTGACAACATTTCTCTTATCAGTATATGGTTTCATGTTGTTCTTAATGGTTATATATATCTGGTTATTGGAGAATATTTTCATACATTTAAGTTCAACACCACAACATCAAAATGGCAGGATTGCAGGTCCATGGTGGACATATTTAATCCACTGCATATCTTGTTCGCCTTATTGACAATGGTGATATTGACCCTGGTGATTTTGACCGTGGTGATTTTGAACCTATATCTTACAGGGTTCTTACTGAATGTAAAACTGATATTGATATTGATGACCATTACTCAAGGTTTGATCTGAAACAGTTAGCTGATATGGGAGGGGGCTGGTTTTGTGTGATGCGCAGTACTTTAAGTAAAGAGTTTTTGATATACGTCTTCAGAATTCATTTTGAACATGAATACAACATTCAAACCTTTGGAAGTGAAGATCGTTCGTCAGAAATTATTTTCTCAACGAAATTCAATCCAAATGACACTCTCCTTGCCCCTCATAATGAGTTTATATATTTCGGATTCTGTGTAGCGTAAGTACACCCCACATTCATGCTTCTTCTTGTGTGAAAAAGCTTATAATTCATTCTTTTGATATCCTAATTGTTTATATATTTATTTTCAGCTCTGCTCCTCCTCCTCCTCCCCTGGCAATGAAGACCAAGACAAAGGATGAAGACCAAGACAAAGGATGAAGACCAAGACAGGGATGATAGGAAGATGCAATTCTTCAATGGTTGAAATGCCTAAGGTGTGGAAAACAGTATCGTCCCATAGATTCCTTATGGTGCGCAACAACTACAAATTGCAATCCCTAATACAGAGATTCCCTTCTTTTCCTTTAGAGGAAAGAACCTTGAAACTTATGGAGTAATTTGTTCGGAACTAAGTTTTGTAGGGTTTCTTGACAAGTATATTAAAAAGTAGCTATCGTTTAGTAGGGTTTCTTGACAAGTGTGTAGCTATTTAGTAATTGTTTGATGAATTTAGTTGCTGGTGCTCCTATAAAAAAGTATTAAAATGGTGGTATTTCTTATAATACCATTTTTTTGCATGCTAGGAGTTCATAGCTAATGAAGGCAATGGAGAGGTACCTCTTGAGGGATCAATACCAGATATGACCTCCTCCACAAAGTGAGTAATACCAACTTCGGATATGATTTCTACTTTTTGCCTCTTATAGTGAATGACCTTTAGGATAAATTTTACTCTATAGGCTATATGTAAACCTACAAAATATCTACCAAGCAAAAGCTGAGGCTGATTTTCTTGCTATGGAGCAACGTGTGAGGGATATACTAAAAAGAATTGGTAGAGATCCAGGTAGCATCTCAAAGTCAAGCATAAAGAGCTTATAATACCTTTAGTAAAAATGCAAGAAAGCTCGCAGTAAGTCCATTTAGATTACATGCTTTCCGTGTATTGTATAGTTATTATTATTATTATTATTGTTGTTGTTGTTGTTGTTGTTATTTGTAGAAAATGAAAGAATATTGACTTGTATAAAGATAAGGTTCAAGGACCTATATATATATATATATATATATATATATATATATATATATACACACACACACACACAACAAAGGATGAGCCTAAGAGTCACCTAGAAATGACAAGACACCTATGAAGTATATAAAGTATTTTTTTCATGTCTAATATTTTGAATATGTTATTGTTATGTTATTATTGTCCTTATTTATACTTATCTGGAATATCTTTTATATGCTGTAGTGACTTGTTCCTGTTTATCAGTAGTTATCACTTTCTATAGAATATAGATTTAGTGCTTTGTGCCTTAGTTTGCATTTTGAGTATATGGTTCCTGTTAATGAAAAAAATGAAGTTCAGTGATCTGTGTTTTTGGTCACAAAATTGTGGAGTTAGGGTGCGCAATTGGAGGGGGAAAAAGAGAAATAGGAGCTAAAATTTCATTAGTAGCCCTGATCAACTAAGATTTTTGAAGAGTAACAGTAAATTTTTGACATACCCGTTAGTGGAAGGACAGAGAGCACTACTTCACTGACAATTTGGGTATTGAAAGTGGTAACACCTATAACATGGGAACTGAATCCGCTATTACCCTATAACTTTGGGAGTCTGAGTAACTAATTGGCTAGCACAAATATCTTATAAGCAAAGGTAAACCCAACATTCATGGCAAAAAGGAAGACCTATAGTAGAAAAAAGTTCTAGACCGCAGTGGGCTTGCATTTACTGAACCTTTGCCTCAACCCAGTGCTAGTTTTAAATATCTGACCTGCAATGTGTATCTTCCAGTTCTCATCCTTGGACTATATCTGCCTCTCAGACTAAAATGATGAAAAAAAAAGTGAGAATGTTGAACATCTAATGGTAGACAAGCAGCAGCTTTAGCAAAACACAAGCAATTAAGATTTTTATTGGAGCTATTTAAAAAAAAGTTGTGTTTAGATGTGACTCTGGTGTTTGATCAGTTTGCTTGTTGAAATCTATCTAATTTGCTTAGAATTTTATTTTTCATTGGGTTTTAGTTATGTTCATGAATTGATGCAAAGACCAAACATTTCAAGCTTGCTCTGAATGTGTTTGGACTTTTTGCTCCATTTTGGTAGTCTAAGACAGTTTTTACCTTGAGAAGAAGTTTATAGGCAAGGCGCTCTTGTTACAATCAGAACAGAAATTGCTTTTAGTTACCTTCAGCTAACCTCATTGATATGGATTAATTATTAACTACTTCATTTCATAAATTATTTTGTGTATTGCAGTATTGCTGTGGGTTTCTATATTTTCCTTGATCATGCTGATATCGAGAAATTATTGATGAAGCAGCAGAGCAGAATCTCCGGGATTAGCTTCAAGCTCTTTTGAGAAAAGTTGCAAACAAGTTAGTTGTATTTGCACGGTGGGTAGCCTCAATAACAAAATTGAACTTGTCATTGAGATGTGATGAATTTTCTGTGCACAAATATGTAAAACAATTTTGATACTTTAAATAGTAGGACATGTGACTATGTGAGTAAAGAAGTGAGACCTCCAATAATTAGTCTCCGTGCAGTCATCGTCGTCCACCTGTCTATTTTCTCCTTTTCATTCCCTGGTTCTGTAGGTGGTTGAACAACATTCCCGGTAGGAACAAAGGTATAATGCATTTCCAGAGTCCCTATTATAGATGCTGGGCATAGTTAACACTGGTCACAAACTGTTCTTATAAGTATACAAGCAGAAATTCATAGAAGTTGGGCATAGTTACAAATGCAGATATGCCAATTACAAAGTCTTAAGATATGATGATCACAACCCACCATTTTCTTGTGTAGTGACTAGTGGTAAAGGGGGTTGTAGCTAACTGTATGAAAAAGCAGCAAAAAGAAAAAAAAGAGAAGGGGACTAATTTGATTCTCTCTTCGAGAAATGTTTAAGTTCAATTCACTTCCCATGCATATATATATATATATATATATATATATATATATATATATTAATTAAGTTTAAGTACATTTAAATGATTTCCGTGAGGCTGTGCGGTTTTAACATGCGTCAGTTTTGTATTTCAAGTGCGTGAGTCTTGTGCTTAATGTGCGTGAGTTTGTGCTTAATGTGAGTTGTTGTTGAAACTTAAGTGAGTGAGTTTTGTGCTTAAATGCGTTAGTTTTGTGCTTAACGTGCGTGAGTTTGTGCTTAATGTGAGTAGTTGTTGAAACTTAAAAGATGTCTGAGTTCTGTGCTTAAGGTGCGTGAGGCTTGTGCTTAACATGCGTGAGTTTTGTGTTTAACATGCGTGGGTTTGTGTTCTGAAGGTGTTTTGCTTGTGTGTTTAATGTGCGTGTATTGTGTACTTAAAATGCGTCAGTTAATGCTTAATGTGCGTCCAACTGCACAACCGTACGGGAGGAGGCTTTAGCGCGGTTGGGTGCTTCCTGTGCGGTTGATTAATGTGCGTGAGATTTGTACTTAATGTGCGTGAGTCTTGTGCTTAATGTGTCTGAGCTTTGTACTTAATGTGTGTGAGTGTGTAATATTAATGTGCGTGAGTTTTGTACTTAAGGTGTGTGAGTCTTGTGCCTAAGGTGCGTGAGTTTTGTGCTTAATGTGCGTGAGTGTGTACTTAATGTGAGTTGTTGTATGAGTTGTTGAAACTTTAAAGTGCATGATTTTTGTGCTTAATGTGCGTGAGTTTTGTGTTTAAGGTGCGTGAGTTTTGTGTTTAAGGTGCGTGAGTTTTATGCTTAAGGTGCGTGAGGTTTGTGCTTAATATGCGTAAGGTATAAGAAAATAGTAACTTACTGAAAGAAGTACGTGGTGAAAGAAATAGCAGCAGATATATTCAGGGTTGTAGTGCTTGTGGAACCAAGCAACTCCATAATTGAACAAACAAATCTATATCCATTGTTAAACTGCAACTACCCACATATACATCTGCACACTGCTGACAAATTAAAAGAATAGATACTAAGCCATTGAAATGCATACTTTCCAGTGTATTAAAATGTGAGAAACATTATCAGCTAAAAATGCTGAATTTCCAGCGTATTAAAAGTTTGTTAAAACTCACGCACATTAATCACCCACACAACCGCACAGGAAGCTATACCCGCACCTGAACCCTCCCCTCCACCCCCCCCCCAGTGGCGGAGCCACAATGGGGGCAGTGGGGGCTGTTGCCCCCACTCACCCACCCAATATATAGTATATATACCAAACATTAACCAAAAGTTGCTTTGGTTTAGATGGCAAAACCATTGGAGTAAGAGTTTTTTCCACTTTTGGTCCCTCGACTTCACTTGTGGTGACAAATGGGATTCACGACTTTTATTCCGGACATAATAGGTGCTCAACTTCAATTTTTTTTCCACATTTGGTCGCATCCGATCAAGAACTCGGCCAACCCACCGGAATTAGACTCAACCCTTGTTATGTTAAGGGTATTCTAGTCATTTCTAACCCATGTAAAATAATTAAATATAAGATTTATTCTGTATATACACCTCATTCTCGCCTATCTCTGTTCAAATCGAAGGTGTGCGAAGAAGGAAGATATTTCTTCGCACGGCGAGGTATTATTTTCACCAGCTCATCTTCGCCCTCCACTTCTGCCACCAGAACGGCGTCACCCACCGTGACATCAAGCCCCAGAACCTCCTCCTCGACAAGGACGGCAAGCTCAAGATCTCCGATTTCGGCCTCTCCGCGCTGCCGGAGCAGATCCGAAACGGCCTCCTCCACACCGCGTGCAGTACTCCGGCCTACACCGCCCCAGAGGTGATGATCAGAAAAGGCTACGACGGCGCCAAGGCCGACGCGTGGTCTTGCGGCGTCATCCTCTTCGCCTTCCTCGCAGGGTACCTCCCATTCGACGACAACAATATATCAAACATGTACCGTGCAATACGAAGCCGCGCGTTTCAGTTCCCGGATTGGATCACAAAGCCCACCGGAGCATAATTTTCCGGCTGCTCGATCCCAATCCGGTAACCAGAATGTCCATCGAGGAACTGATGAAGCTCCCGTGGTTCAAGAAGTCATCATCAGTGATAGATTTGACAGACGAACATCAATTCGGGAACCAAGAATTCGACAAAGATTGCAAACACTTAACCAAAATGAACGCATTCGATATCATTCCAATGTCTCCCGGGTTGGATCTATCAGGGCTATTCCAGGCGGGATTGAACAAGAAAGAAATGAGATTCACCACAAATTCCGAGGTAGGAGAGGTTGAGGAGAAGGTAAAGACGATCGGGAGTGAAGCAGGGTATAGGGTGGAGAGGGGAAAGGGAGGGGGAATCAGACTGGTAAAAGCAAGAGTAACGTTAATGGTGGAAATTCTTCAAGTGGCGCCGGAGCTATGGCTGGTGGAGATGAAGGTCGTCAATGGAGAAATGGAATTCGAGGACACACAGTGGGAGGAGTTGAGAGTTGGGTTCAAAGAAATATCTTGTTTCATGCTAGTATAACAATACAACCATGAATCTTGAACCGGACAACGCCGGTGATTGTCGCCGAGCTTCTACCAGGCGAGAATGAGGTGTATATACAGAATAAATCTTATATTTAATTATTTTACATGGGTTAGAAATGACTAGAATATCCTTAACATAACAAGGGTTGAGTCTAATTCCGGTGGATTGGCCGGGTTCTTGGTCGGATGGGACCAAATGTGGAAAAAAAATTGAAGTTGAGCACCTATTATGTCCGGAATAAAAGTCGTGAATCCCATTTGTCACCACAAGTGAAGTCGAGGGACCAAAAGTGGAAAAAACTCATTGGAGTAATACATAATGGTCCAGAGTTCGAAACTTGTAGTGTTGAATTTGTTCTTTCAATTTTTAAATAGCAATAGTAGGAATACTAATTTGATATTATTATTATTATTATTTTTTAACATTGAGGTTTTTTTTTTTCTTTCATTTTTTAATATTATTAGTGAGATGAGTAAACTTTTGTTTTTGACATTTTTTTAATATTAATAGTGATAATTCTAATTGAATTTTTTATTTGTAACATTGTGATTTCTTCTCTTTTTTCTTTTTTAATATTAATAGTTAGATGAGTGATTTATACTGTGTTTTTCATTCAAACTATTTTATCTAATTAATTATGTTTTATATTTTATTTTAAATATTTTTTTTTATCTTGATGTATTTTGATTTTTCATCTCTAGTCAACAATATTTATGATTTGGTTTCCAAGTGTTTCATTTTTTAAAAAATATCGCGCTCGTTAGTTCTAATATTTTGCCCCCACTGAAGAATATTTCTGGATCCGCCACTGCCCCCCCCCCCCCCCCCCCCACACACACACACACACACATATATATATATATATATATATATATATATTTATATATATATATATATATATATATATACATATATATTGTAATATGATTACTTTGATTCTTTGATAATTGCTAGTGTAATTTCTAGACATATTCTTTGATTCTTTAATTTCACCTTACATGAATAAAAAAAAAATGATCATTTGCTAGTGTGTTTGGTAGAAACCACAAATCAAGAACCAAAAAAAAAAACAAAAAGGAAGATAAGTAGAAATCTTGACTAGAGATGGAAAAGGCATCCTGGATGAGTCACAAGGGAAGTGTTAAATATGAGGATTGCAAAAACAAATTTCATCATAAAAATGTTCAAGGCTAATTTCTACTCCGGACTAATTTGAACAGAATTCAAACACCAAAATAGAAAAATGAGAAAGAAGGGCAAGTGAAAGAAGAAAGAAGTTGCAGCTTACACGTTGAACAAGTCCATCTTCACCACAACTGTACAAAATGTAAAGGCTTCCTGGTTCAATTGCCAATTTGTGAGTTCATCCTAGGTGTCTTGCCAGCATTTTTGTCTCCACTTTCCCATGTGCTAAAATCTTAGCGTGTCTTATCTGAAAGGAGTATCATAACTAAGGAGGGAACGCCCTTTCTATTGGAATTATATGCAGATTCATTTGTTCTAGATATGTAGTTTGTTTACGGTTTAGGATTACCCCATTGAAACCGGAGAAACTTTGAAGCGAGTGGTGTAATAGAAATATAGAATAGTGTGTTCTGAAGAACTCCAACTCTCCAAGTGGGTCATCTCTGCATATTTGAGGTCCCTACTTCATACTTGTTCTTCTTTGATGCCTCTCTCTCTCCACTCACCCACCCCAACGGTTCGACAAAGCTCTGATACCAACAGTTGGTATCAGAGCCTAGGTCTGAATACTAGGATGTTGATAACTGGACTGTAAGAGTCTAGTCTCTGATACCAACCGTTGGTATCAGAACCTAGGTCAGAATCCTATGATGTTGATAATTGGATGTAAGAGCCTAGGTTGGAGCCTAGGATAGAACTTTAAGATTTGAACTTAACAGCATTATTGTTGTACTTATGGGTATCTGTGATGATTTTAAGTTCAAGTCATCAAGTGTGTTTGTGATCCAGCTTGAGCTTGAAAATTAACGAAATATGCAATTGAAAGCCGATTTTATAGAGCTAAAGAAAAGAAAGAGAATATTAGAATGTATGGTT